AGAGCCTGTGCTCTAGAGGTTAATATAGCTACCTAACATGCACACAGCCCAGGTTCGAATCTCAGAAGGGTATGTCTGGCTGAAGAGAGTTAAGAAGCTCAAAATAGCTATTCCAGTTCTTCCTTTATTCTTTGTTAGCAATCTAAAAAAATGTATATGCTACTTATTGTATATTATTTTTTTCTTTTCCTTTTCCTCTATTTAATTCTGCCCAGGTACCATCTTTTTCTTCTCCTAACTTCCCCAAATTCTGTTAAATTTTTGATTGCCTTCTTTATAAGAAATGCTCAATTAACTTTCTGGTGGTGTATGATTAACTATCTACTATTTTTCATCCCAAGGCATAACCACAATCTGTGTCAATTTGGAATCGGTGCTGGGTTTTTATGATCATACTAGGTTGGTTGGTTGGTTATTGTTAGCCATTCCAGGTAGATCAGACAGGAAACAGCCCAGCTGAACTAGTTCTACTTTACTGGGTACATTAACAGAATCTTGGAAGTCTGAAAATACAAATATCCTACTGTCTCTTTTTACAGCCTGATAAAAATGTCCGAGTTTCTTTCTCTGTTTTTATACAGCTGTGAGCTCTCCTGCTCTTATTTGATTGTTACTTAGGAAGCATCTCCTCCCCCCCCCCAATCTCACCCCCCCAATCTCCCCAAGTTATTCTTACATACCATTATAGTTATTCATTATTTTCAGACTATTTTGAGAGATTGAGGAGTTGAAATGGTGCTACTGTCAAAGGAGGCTTTGTAACATGCAAGCAGTAATTACATGTAAGCATAGTTACTGCTGTACAAGAATGGCATTTAGATAAATGCCTGTGCCTGAAGAGAACATCTTTATCTTACATCTGGTTGATAAGTGAATACTGTGTTATGCAATACATAAGATGTGATGTGCAGGTTCTAGAATATTTGTACTACCATAATGGCCCAATCTGGATTGGGAGCAATTCTGCATAGGGTATGTTTGGAAGGAGCCTAATATTTTAGCCTCCAGCCTCTTTGTTAGCAAAATTGTGAAAACTGCAGTGCAATATTTCTGGATAGCACAGGTGAGGGCAAACTGGCAAAAGCAAAAATGCTTCTAAAATATTTTGAATAATGTTAGATGTATGCATAAATGCATCTCTATAAATATCTTTGGAAGATTTGCTGGCCCTGGGAGACAAAAATGGACTGGTCAAGGCTCCTTCTATACACAAAAAAATGAACATTTGATGGGAGGTAATTATGCTAAAGAAATGCTGTGCACTGCAGGACCAGTATAACTTTGCATATTTAATGTAATCACCACCAACAGGTTACATGGAGAAGCATCATCTGGATAGCACTGATAGTGGATTGTAGTGACTCCAAATTAGACTTAAACTTCATTAGAAAAAAGCATTATATCCAGTAGTTATTTTTTTCTTGGATGAGTCATCCAGTAAGTTCCAAAGTTGTGTGCAGATTGTCCAGTGCCTTAACCAATCCACCACACTGGCCATCAGACAATGTTGATTCCCCCCCCCCATTTTTTTTTCAAATACAGAAAGGCCTTTCAGGTGAGACTTTATTGTTATTAGCCAAGAATAACAGAGTTGGAAGGGCCCTATAACATTCCAAACAAATTCAGTCAACTTCCCAGTGATGGAGCAATCACAACTTCTGAAGGCAAGTCATTCCACTGATTAATTGTTCTAACTGTCAGGAAACGTCTCCTTATTTCTAGGTTGGTTCTCTCCTTGGTTAGTTTCCATCCGTTGCTTCTTGTTCTGCCTTCAGGTGCTTTGGAGAATAGCTTGACTCCCTCTTCTTTATGGCAGCCCTTCAAATAGTGAAATGTTGCTATCATGTCTGGAAAAAAAATGCAGCTACCATTTCTTCTCTCCCCTATGAAAATGTAATACTACGTGAGAAAAACCTTGAGAAATAGGACAAATATATGTTGCCTAGGGAACAATCAGATAAGAGATGGTACAGCCCACAGCTGTATAAGTGGTACAGCCCAGAGCTGTATAAGTGGTAGAGAAAGAGGCTCAGTTACACTTGCTAACTTCTGAGACTGAAAAAGAGATGGCAGGAGATTTGCACTTTTACACTTGCAATATTCTTTTAAGACAGCCTTAAAATAAAGTAGAAGTAGTTCATCTGATCTGCTTCCTATCTGGTATACTGGGAAGGCTGACATCAATCTTGCAAGTCTAATACTTTTTTCCAAAGAGAGGACTTTCAGGAATGGCCTCTGATCTTCAAGGAAGGCCGCTACCAGCTGAGCATCTGACAGCACCATTGTTAAAATATCAACAGCAAGTTGAGACACAAATAATCAATTTGTAGAATACTATGATTCAACTAATCCAGTAGCAGGGGCAGAATTTGCTTCAACCAGTGGCAGCACAACACACGGGACTCAGCCAATGCTCTGGGGGCTATGCCCTCTTTTACCTGAAAGTTTCCTATGCAGCAGTCTTAGCCCTGTTTCTCAAGATCTTTCTCAGAATGTTATTGTCCTAACAATGAGAGTAGTGCAGGAGGGCATAAGGAATGGCCTCGAAGGATAGTGGGAGGATCCCTTAGCAAGACAACGATCAGACAAATGGGGATTAGTTCAGTCCAAGAAAACCAACTTGAGGAAATATCTCAGACACATCTTTTCCCCAATTCACATGAAGATCAAGTGAGGGAGGAGGGAAGCACATTCAGACTTGCAAAATTCCGTTATGATAGCTGTTCTTAAATGTAATTTTAAATAGTAATAAAAGTTATGTGTGGCATTGGTTTCTTAGCCTGATCTATCTTATTGGGTTGACAGGCAGAGACTGAACCAGAAGGCCCGAGGTTCTGCAGAGAGAAAGCAACAGCTCTCTTGAATTTGAAATTCAGAAACTGCAATTTCTGATTACCTCCCAGTTGCTGCACTGGAGTGATGATTGAAATAATGTTTTCCTATTTCTTGCAGGTCAGAAATAGGGGGCAAAAGTGAACAGTAGGTTACTACTGTCTATAATGCCCTGAGCAATAGCTGCCTCTTTGCTCAAGCAGGGATTTTCAAGCCTTACTGTGCCATTTTACCAACTCCCAATAAATTCATTTGCATAGTCCTGCAGGTATAAACGAATTTCTGTGATTTCCCCTGCTCCTTGAAGAGGCGCAGATATCACAAAAGAAGCCTCCCATTTGGTAGATGCTAAAAGGAGGAAATTGTGCTTCTCAGGTAATCCCTTAGCCACCAATGAGAAGCTCCCCAATAACTTTCTGGATGTGACCCAAAAAAGATCTGCAGCCAAAGCAACCTGCCCACCTTGCCATTGAAGGTACCATCCTCCTGAAAAACAGGTTCTCAGTGAAGGCTACCTGTAATTGGATAGAACAGGGATGGGGGTTAATCATCTTCAATTCAGAATGGGACAACTTGCCGTGGCTGACTGACCGTGGCCAACTTGCCATGGGACAACTCGCTGCAGGACAATTTGCCGTGGGACAGTTCAACCATTAAATTTACTTATTTAAAATAATTTAAAAATATTTTAATTTTTGTAATTCACGTTGCATTTTGTCCTTCCTGTGGCATCCTTTCTTTAACGATTCTGTTCTACCATTTCTTTGATATTTGTGTAGCGCTTGTCCTGCGGTGAGTTGTCCCATGGCAAGTTGGCCATGGTGAGCTGGCCATGGCATGTTGGCTGCAGCTGAGTTGGCCGTGGCGAGTTGTCCTAGACCCCTTTCAATTTGCTTATGACTGCCAGATGGCTGAGACTCACAGTTTCAGAACCTCTGTGTTAAACAACTTTTTTTCTCCCTATTCTCATCCCCCTGAAAGATATAGATAGAAAGACTTCTCTCCCCCCCCCCATTTTAATGACTGCTTATAAAGTTTCTCTTCCTGTAGAAGTTGGTTTGGGAAGGTCCAAGGCCAGTCAGAGCAGGAAATGTGCCAGGATCTTGCTTAGGGTATTGAGCTGAGGGGAGAACTAGGTAAAGTCAGACCAGAAGTGGAGTGTGCTATCTTTAATGACTTCCTCCTGCTCCTTCCATTATACCAGTGGTGGCGAACCTATGGCACACGTGCCAGAGGCGGCACTCAGAGCCCTCTCTGTTGGCACGCGTGCCACTGCCACCAGCAGCAAGTCCATTAGGCCGCCACCGCCGCCTGGAGCAGAAGCCCCATCCAGCACAAAGGCAGTGAAGCGGCCGACTAGCAAGTTCGAATAGAGGTGGTAGAGCAGAGGTCACCAACCATTGTCAATTGGTGAACTGGAAGAAAAGGGAGGGGGAAGCATTTTACATGCGTGCATGTGTGCAGTGGGCCACAAGCATGCACGTGAGGCAAATGGGGCGGGGCTAGTGCCTGCGTGATACTTACTAGCCATGCCCCATTCTTGTGTGGTGCAGCACCTTGTATCTGCACTCTGCAGCGTGGTGGTGGCCATTTTTGCACCTTGCAGCATGGTGGCCCATTTTTTTGCCCCCGGGTTTTGCGTGCCAGAGGTGGCACTCAGAGGCACCTCCCTGCCCCCCGATGCTGATGCGGCCCTGGCACTTTGTGATAAATAAGTGGGTTTTGTGTTGTGGTTTGGGCACTCAATCTGTAAAAGGTTTGCCATCACTGTATTATACTTCTTGTTCCCAAACATGGTAAACTGATTGTTCCTAAAACAAGATTTAAAGGCAAGAATATGGAATGTGGATATGGATGTGGGGAAGAGAATCAGTTCTTCATTCTAGAAAGCCTTTCCTGCCACCCATGAGTTGGCAAGAGAAGTTGGGAAAATGTTCTTTTGGGAGAGTGGAAAAGCTATGATTTTACTACTACTACAAAAAAGCCAGCAGGAGCAGAGCAGGTTATATTATTAAGTTGTACTTATTTTATGCTTTGAAATCTCCTGAGGGACCTAATAGGAGTATACAAATACCATAAATAAATAAAGAAGAGAATAAATCTCTTAAAATTGGTAATAAAGGCTCCACAATTAGCTGCTAAACCCATTTTATTGTTTATTGGTGAAACAATAGAAGCATTTAACCACTAGGTGGAGATGGCTTCATATTCAGTGAGGAATAAACGTGATTGATCTGGCATCTGAAAACATTTTTTTCATATCCTATTTTTTTTTTTGCATTTATTTTTTGGTCAGTGGACTTTGCCTGTTTGAACAGGGAAATGAGTAGAAAGAAACATACATTTCTCAAGACCTGTAGTTTGTATTGGGCTACATTTAACATCTTTTGAGTAGACTTCTCTACACAGCGGAGTTTGTCTTGCTTTCCTACATTCTGCATCTCTTGTGTTGTCCCCATAGCTGTTCAGGAAAGCCGAATGGACACCTAGAAGAGGAATCCAGGGCATCATTGGTCTGCTAGCAATTAGACATCACTGCACAACTGTAAATAGATTTTACAGCAGTGGGAAATCCTGGAAGGGAAAAAAAGCTATTATATATATTTTATATATACTAGCAAATCAAATATTTTCTATACATTCAAAAGATAAATAATGCTCCCATGTCATTATACATCCACCTCATCAGAAAATCTTGTCGAGAAGTTAATGACAGCTTTTCCTTGTTCATTTTTGAATCAAGAAAACTGACTGACAAGCAAATAGTAATTTATTCCAGTCCATAAATCATTATTTGGTTTTGACTATCACTGTTACTACTTTATCTGGAACTGATCTGGGATGTTGCTTGTATAATTATTAGAATGGAATAGAACTGGAAGGGACCTTTGAGGTCTTCTAGTCCAGTCCTGTGTTTAAGCAGGAGACTCTATACCAGTGATGGCGAACCTTTTAGACACTGAGTGCCCACAAAATGCCCTGCCCCCGCTCACTCTGCCCCCTGCCCTGCCCGCCGCAGGGCCACCTACCACTTCCATGGCCCGCCGCAGATCGCCCAGGCGGCCCTGCAGCACCATGGCAGCCAAGTCCTCTGCCCGCACCCCGCAGCATCATCTGTGATGGGGTGCGAGGGTGGAGTCTTGTCCCTGCTGCCCGTCTGCCATGTACTTGGCCACGTTGCTCCGTGTGGGTCATGCCTAGGGGCTACTCTCCTCTAGGGGGCTGCTGGTGAGGACGAGGCTGTGGGGGAAGGCGGGGCTGGGGCAAAAGTGCGCGTGCCCACAGAGAGGGCTCTGAGTGCCACCTCTAGCACCTGTGCCATAGGTTCGCCACCACTGCTCTATACCATTTCAGACAAGTGGCTGTCCAGTCTCTTCTTAAAAACCTGCAGTGATGAAGCACCCACAACTTCTGAAGGCAAGCTGTTCCAGATCCTGCTGTCAAACCAAAAGGCAAAATTGCTGTTTGTGTTCATTCAGTCCATGGTAAATGAAAAATGGATTACATAACCATCACAATAAAACCATAGTCAAGAATCACTCAATGAAGCCATTTTTCACTATAAGGTTTCTGGAATAGCACTATTTTCTACCTAACATCTAGTGGGAGCATATTGATTCCCACACCGTGTTCGTCTACATACCTACAGGTTTGTTGCTGAAACAGAGCTTAGATGACTTTCAACTGGAATTGGATAAGAGACTCCTTTTAAAACAATATTGAATGGCATACAAATGCTGATGGTGGCATTATATTGGTGAGGACTCATCGTGCCTGCAAAAGGGATTTCTTTCAGTTGCCACTGTAAGAGAAGCATGCTTGTATAAACAACACTGAAAGACACAAAAGACCATTGATAATAAAGACACTGAACAGATGGGAGGACAAGAAGACTTCAAAGATGTTTTCCAGTACTAGCAGTAGTAATTTATAAATCCACAGAAATGCTTTATTCCCCCTAGAGGATAACGGTAGGGGTATGGTAGCTTTTGTTTCATCTAGATTGCTAGAGAAAATTATATTTGCCTATATGTAAGAAAATGTAGGGTACGGAGTTAGCTTTATTGTAGGTATTATTTAAACTATTAGGTTGTGGTGAAGGTGGCAACGAACAGACTTTAGGAGGCATTTTAAGAATCATACCTCTGTACGCTAATTGTTCTCTTTGTTATGACTGCCATTTAAAACAAATCAAAGAAAACTCCCTTAAGACTCATTAAGCAGTTTACCAACCCAACACATTAGTGTATTGTGCTAAATATATTTGTTGGAACTGATGTCAACAGTGGCTAACATTTATGAAAAGCTTATGCAATACAGTATCAGAAGAGTTTTGAAATATTCGTTTTTCTGTTTACAAAAACCAGATGATCCTTATTATTTGCATTTCGCCAAAGTTCAATATCATCACACATCTGAACTGTATCATATTAGCATAATATTAGCATAAAAGTCTTAAAACTGAAATGGCTGATTTGACTTTTTCGTTATGAAAAATGATGCTTAAATGGACAATTAGCTTGAACATTTCAACTCTTGGTGGGTTATTGATGACTCCTCTGCAGCCACTTGAAAGACCGTAGAGGAAACTAAGACTAAAAGGTAAAATAGTGGCTGGAATATAGTACAAAGCTATTTATTTAACATGGATATATTTTACTGTGAAATATATACTGTATGAATAAATAGATTTGGTCTGAAACCAATTTTTTATATGTGCTGCTATCAGTATACTGCAGTCAGTGATTTACAGTAGAGAAATTTGCTGGGCACAAGCCCTTTGTACCCTTTGTAGAAGCCTTTGTGTATTTTTGCAGGGATTCACTATGCAAAACAGATCCCGGACTATTTTGTTTGCATTACAGATAATCCTTGATTTACAATGGTTCGTTTAGTGACCATTCAAAGTTACAACGGCACTGAAAAAAGTGACTTATGGGCATTTTTCACACTTACGACCATTGCAGCTTCCCGTGGTCAAATTCAGACACTTGGCAACTGACTCATATTTATGACGGTTGCAGTCTCCTGGGGTCCTTCTCACAAGCGAAGTCAATGGGGAAGCCAGATTCACTTAACAAACGTGTTCCTGACTTAACAACTGCAGTGATTCATTTCAGAGCTCCGCAAGAATGGTTGTAAAATGGGGCAGTGCTCACTTAACAACTACCTTGCTTAGCAACAGAAATTTGGGGTTCAATGGCGGTCGTTGAGGACCAACTGTGTACTTCGTCGCAGAATTCAGGAGCTGTGATTGCTGACTTTTCAGAACTCTGAGTTCGAGTTCATCTTTTAAGATAGCACCCAGGTTTTTTACATGCCTCCAGTCTCCTCTGGCTTGCAGGTTTTGAAGTTTCAGAATGTATTTATCATCTGAGCAGTAAAGAAATGAGGCCTTCCGGGCACCTCAGCCATCTAAATCTTCAGAAGGTAGTGATGATGTTGATGCGGTTAACTTCGGGATCATGAGAACAGGAATATTTTTTTCCATAACGTTCTTTGGACTGAAGATTGAATATTCCAAGAGAGGCAGTGAGGTAGCACACGTGAAAGGAACGGACTTGATGAGGGAGAACAGCTCTGCTGCACACACATTTCTTCTGGGAAATCAACATTTTAAACCAAGTAAGTTATAGGTAGTCCTTGATTTACCACAGTTCACTTAGTGACTGTTCAAAGTTATAATGGCCCTGAAAAAAGTGACTTTTGACCATTTTTCACACTTACAGCCATTGCTGCATTCCCCCATGGGCAAGTGATCAAAATTCAAATGCTTGGCAACTTGGCTCATATTTATGACGGTTGCAGTATCCCAGGGTCACGTGATCACCTTTTGTGTCCCTCCCACAAGCAAAGACAATGGGGAAGTTAGATTCAGCTAACAACCACATTACTAACTTAACAACTGTGGCAAAAAAGGTCGTAAAATGGGGCAATCTCACTTAACAAATGTCTCGCTTAGCAATGGAAATTTCAGACCCAGTTGTGGTCGTAAGCCGAGAACTATCTGTATTTATTTATCTTTTTTCTCTTTTTTTTAGCCAACCTTTCTAGGATTAAACATCTGAAAAACATACCAGTAAGAAATGTGGGCAATCAGCTAAAGGGTTGAAGACTGGTGAACCAGGATGGTCAGAATCATAGACTGTACCTTGAATGATGCTCTTTTTTTTTCTCTTGACCTATTGCACTAGTAGCTGAAGTACCATCACACAGTTTGAACCTATATGTAACTTTCTTTGCTTCTTTCTTGATTACCACAATGGTATGGAGTATAACAGTGGATCTGATTCCAAAAATATTGGGAGGATGAATGAATGGCATACCAAAACTGCAATATAGGTGAAGAAATTAAGGCACCTTTCCTCCAATTATATCAATTTTTCTTTGCCAGGTGGGTTCTAAGGAATCTGCAACCTCTGGATAGTATCAGATCTAGGAAGGCGAAACTGGGATATGACACTGTTAAAAGCCAATCAATGTTTATACAGGCACAATGCAGCAAACACGATGTGGGTTCAAACTCAACAGCTTTTAAAAATAAATTGTATTGTTTTCAATAACACAAACAAGAGCACATAGTCATCAGAGTTGTGTAACTTGAAGGTGTGGGGTAGTTTTTCAAAATGCAACTAATTAATAAGCACATGACTAATGGAAGAACACAGTATCTACCGTGTTTAGAAGATGAACAAGGAGCATACACAATAAATAAGTCAATAGGGATACACACACACACACAACATACATTCCTGATAACGGCACTATTGCTGCATGCTTAAGTTGCTATAATAGTTGCTTTTAGACAAAGTTTAGTTTTCTCTCTGTAAAATGTGCAGGTTCACACTTCCATTCCTATGCATTTGATACACCCGATTTAAGAATAAATTTTCCTACCACCCACCAGGCCTTTGGGGCTAGGAGAGACCAAAAGCCTCTCTTCCCTCCCATTGTCTCTTAGTATATTATTTCTTCTTTGCTCAAGTTTACAATCCTATAAAATATGATTTAGTTCATTTCCATAGGAGCTGCTTCTCAACTGTATGCTGTGCTTTAATGATCCCCATTTGTTAAAGTTGAAAGGGAAAGCTAATTAAATGAAGCCAGTGGAAAAAGAGGGGGGAATTCTATGATGATGTTGCTTTATCTTATACAAGCAGCTTGACACCTTTCCCTTTGTTTTTCTTTCTTTTACCTTTAAAAGGCCCTGTATGTACTTACAACAATGTAGGGTTTTACTTCCTGGGTTTCTAAAAAAGAAAATGACCTAGAAAATAGGGTTTTGCATGTTAGTCAGTTTCACAAAAGTATTAGAAAACTGCTCTGTTTTTTTTTCTCTAGTTACATGTTATTTTTTTTTTCTTCAAGAAGAATCCCACTACTAACTGTTAATAGCACAACTAGCATATCTTGTAGTCAGCAGCACATGAAAGTTGTTATTGCAAAAAAGAGGAACAGATTTTAAGGAAAACCTCAGGAATATTGTACAGTACAGGTAGCCCTTGACTTATAATAGTTGGCTTAGTGATGGTTCGAAATTATAGCAGCACCGAAAAAAGTGACTTATGACCATTTTTCAGACTTACGACTCTTGGATAGGCCAAAATCCTAGCATTAGTATCACTGCAGCCGCAATTCTATAAACATTTACAGAAGTGTTACATATTTATGTTTAATTTCATCTTGCACGAAGAATCAATTTATTATGAAATAGTACAACTGGAACAATCTGAATATGAATTCTCTACAAATATATAAATCCTCATGACATGTATACACATAAACAAATTATACAGATGTCACCGACAGTATAAAACATTTTCTCTTGAATGGTTTTTTTGTTTCATATTGGAGTCATGGATGATACTTTGTGGTTTACTGGTGCTAAGCCGAGGCATTTCATCTGACTACACATGCATTGCTACAAACACATTAGTAGTACTAATATATCATGTTTTTAATGCTGTTAGCACTTGGCAAAATTAACATTTCTTTAGGTTTTGGGGTGTGTTGCTTTGTAAAATATTATCAGTTGAGATAAAAGCACTTTAACAACCAGTGATTTCAACAGAACAGTTAAGACCAAGCTATATCCTGACATTTTCCCACACTAATGTAATGCTGTGTCAACATTACCAATGTTTTATATTACAGTTAAGAGTTTCTGATAGAAAAATGGAATTGGTCTTCTTTCCTGGTACTATATTATCTTCTTTGCATTCTTTTTTGCTTTTTCTCATTCTACTACATACTGCATATGATCCCTAATGCTCCTTTTGTATTTTAAAGTCCCTTAAAATCATCTAAATATTAGTAACATTTAGTTTATTTAAAGTAGAACAAAACAGCAAATTATCATTATACAGTTAAACTCACATTATTACAGTCCTATTACATTCTCCATCCTAAATGTTAAAATTTGATTCTACCTGCAAATTGAAACCACATTTTTGCTAATGACACTTAGTACATTATTTGGTTTGATATGTGCTGAGTAAACCATGAATTCTGTTAAGATAGTCAATATGGAAATCCACCCTATGTTTTCTGAAAAACCCTGGCTGAAATCTTCAAAGTGTGCTCCTCCTTCTTTGCCTCCATCTGTACTTTCTTCTTCTTCTTATACCTCAACCTTACACCTTATATTACAACAAAAAGAGCCTTTCTCCACTGGGTCAGCAAAAAACCTATTTTAACATCAAATCTGCTGAGTTATTATCATTCCAACATTGTCCAAGGACAATCTCAAACTTTATAAAATCTATTAGGCTTTTTCACCTTACTACCTTGGAGGAAATCAATTGCAATGCTTGAAGAAGAGGCAGTACTGCAAGGCAAAGTGTTGGAATGGGGGCAAATATTGCTATTTTTACACTGGCGCAGTTTCAAAGATTCTCTGATTCATGTCAGGTGGTCATGGTAGAAAAAAAATGTGCCATGTTTGTGCCACAGTTGAGTGCAAGTAGGGAAAGGCCAAAGGCTTTCCATCCATATGGTCCCAACTGGAAAGAAAAATACATAAGCTACGCATACAATGAAGAATGACTCAATTCTCTTTTCCTGCAAACAGAATTGGGATTTGGGATATCTCCAGTTCTCTTTGTGGACTGCAGAAACCTGAACCCCGTGCTCAGAAACCTATTCATCCACATGGAAACATATGTATTTCCAATGAAATGTCCAAGTGCTCTAGTTAGTAAACCTCTGTTATGATTTCAAGGGAGCTATTGCAGGAGAGGGCTTCAGCTCATAACATTCCAAAGAACATTACTCAAACACCAGTGGAAATAACACACAGTTTAATGTAATAGATATTTCATCTGAAATGGCTTCAGAAAGGCCAGTTGTATTCCTAAATGAATAAATTATTTCAAAGAAAGCACTATTGTAATGTAGCATCAGGCACCTAGTTAAGAAGTTATTCTGGTCTCGTCTTCTTTCTATTGCTTAGTCTATTAAAAGATATTATTCGTTGATAAACAGGATAGAGCAGAATAAAGCCATTCATTTACTCTTAAAAGTAATAAAAAGGACCACAAAATTGGTCAGTATTCTTATTCAATGGATAAACGTAACAAGAATATGAAAGAGAAGTATGTAGTAAGTTACCTATGCTACATCTATGGCCGTTTCATACGCTTCGTTGCTTATTTCATTGCAATTGCTGTTAAGAAGAAGCCATACATTCCAAAAACTCATGACATATACATTGGCAAAAGCCATAAACCATGAGAATAACAAGACTCGAGGGAACTAGGCTGACAAATACTACCCCAAGAGTGACTTTCTTTGATACCAGTAAGTAGATCCCTAAAGGCAAAGAACTAAAATACAGCAAGCCTAGCAACCAAACTAGGACTCGAATGGAAGTCTGGAAGAGCAAGGAAGTACAGTTCCACACTGTCCAGTGGTGGGGTACCGATGCCACAGAATCAAAACTTGTAGGCCTATAGAATTCCACAACCGGGGTGGAGTTCAGTGTTGGGGGGTTCTCTCTTTGTACTTCCATGATGGTAATAACCAGACAGTTGGAGGAGGTGTGGGAAGGACTCACGAGGGATGCCAACCTTTTGGGAGTCAACAAAAGTTCTGTAGGATTGTCAGGTAGGCACTTCTTTACCTTTCCTCCATAAGCCAAATTGACAAGGATGTTGTTATCGTCTGGAAGACTACTCACCTCGTCATCAGGCAGGCATGTTTCAAACCTACAGAAAGGACAAACGATGACTCCCTGAGGAGATTCCCCAAAGTCTATGATTTTGCAAAGGCATTTGGCACATACTCTGTGGCAACACTCCAGGACTTTAGGTTTTCTCTGTCTCAAGTTATAGCGGTTGTAACAGATTTTGCATTCAAGCTCGTCTGAGCCCTGAGACTCCACATTATCTTCTGCCAATAGACTTGTCATTTCTTTTTAATATGCCTTAGACTTCTGGAGAAGGATGTCAGCCAAGCCGTTATCTTCTTTTTAAAAAATAATATCTGAAATAATATGATTATCACATCACTTATATCCACCCAGGAAAAAGGAAGCAGTAATAGTGCTCATTCATATTTATCTGCTTTATTCTTCAATGTCTTTTGTGTTTTAAATGTAAGATGAAATTTCTGCGGAGATAAAAAAAAGAGGCATAATTAATGTAAAATACATCTTTATTCAAAAACTCACAAACAGTCATTGAAATACTTTGTTCTGCAATCTTATAATTCAATACTGATGATTTTGAGAGCTACAGTCTCAACACATAAGATAGGGAGAATTGGGAAAAGCTATTGTACACAGATAAAACAAATCTTATTCTGAAAAACATAATACAAAGGAATGTACTAATACTTATCTTGCATATGGACTACAGTTATAACTTCTTAAAATTATAAAGTTATAATGAACAGCTAGAAGGGAACCATTTCAGGGAGAAAAAGAATCAGATACAGCAGAATCAGGAATAGCGACTTTTCTTTTCTTTTGTTACATTCCAAAGGAACAACAATTCCCCTTAAAAAATTAGAGTTTAAAAATCTTCTATCCTGTTTCTTCAACATGATTATTCTGTAGCATAAATATCTATGCCACAGAACATTTATTTTATTTATTAGATTTATAAGCTACCTGATTCCATTCTGTAGCCTTGTATGCTTCATGTTTTAGCAACACCCTATCTATTTGTTTTATTTTATTTCTAGACTATTTAAAATACTTCAGACGTTTTCTGCAAGATGTACAGAGAGTCATCAGTTCTCATGAAAAGGAAACTACAGAGATCTTAGTTACAGAAATATGTTCTTTTGAAAGGCATGTGAGAACACCATATTTGGCAGGGGAACAGATTTTACATGATTTCACATTTATTTAAACGTGAAGGATTTCACCTTTATCAAAAGAAGCAAACTTGAAGGATTGAGGGGCCCCAGCAAATTGTCCCTTGGTGTATCCTTTGCTACACTAGTTCATCTGATAATGTTGTTGGTAATCTATGCCCAACCAATGTGAGCCTCTTGTTGCTTTATGCATGTTCACATACAATTATTATAATATCGGCAGGTATGTTTTCAATTTATTTCCAAATAGACCCCAAAATAGAATTTACTTTTCCCTTAATAGTTGCCTATTAGATATTTGTAGTTGAAATATCCACTGTAATCCCAATGTTCCTTTTCTATTCTGCCACTGTGTCACAGCATGCATATCACCTAGTCACCTAAACACACATGCATTTATCCTTTAGTGGATAGAAGCTGAGAGAAGGAGAGATAACCTATATTTTCACAATTAGTAGTTTTCCCGTAGGAAAACTGTTACTGGCAAGGGGGAAGAGACAGCTGAAAATTTAAAGACAAGCTTTTGGAAGGATGGCAATGAGGAGTGAAATGCCAAACCAAAACAGATTTTAGGTAGTCTTGGCTGTTCAAGTCTTTATGGGTTCCAAAACCTGGATGAAACATTCTTGAAGGAAATCTGGATAAAGATCCAAAAACTATTGAAGAAAGAAGAGGAAGCGAGAGACAGATCTTCCCAGTGTAGATGGCTTCTGTGGAGGCAGAAGAAAGTCAGAATGCTGTATAAGCCTGCCAGCCAGCAAAATTAACTCCTTAACTCTAAGTAGGAAGTAGGAATACAGAAATAGCATTGTGCATATGAGTGAACATGTGGGCTGCACACATGTCCAACCAGAGATGGTTAACTTTAATATGCATGGCCAGAGGCATATAAATCAAGCTGTTGTTTTATAGCCTTGCCAGCATTTTGCTATGGTTTGTCAGAAACAGAGAGATGCAGGAAAGTAGGGAAAAGTGAAATAGCTGTCTGAAATGCTTTGTATGCATGAAATCAAAACTAAGACCTTGCTTTGCTTTGCTACCGTAATACAAGGGCAGAGAAAAATTCACAAGAAGGTGTTTTGTGAAGTGGACCCAGATCCATGAGCCCACAAAGCTTTCATTACTGTCACAATCGGTTCTGATTTTACCAATGATATTGTTTTGTTTTATACAGTTGTTATATCTCTTTTTGCAATCAGTATGTACCCGTTTGAGCTAACTATGCAAAATAATTTGACATCATCAATGTACTTGTCCACAGTCACTCCTAAGACCCATTTATTAACAAATTGAAAAGCTAAATTGAGATAAATAATGATGGTAAGAAACAAACTAAAAACAAAACAGCACTATTTATTTAGCTCCTCTGCAATCTCTTTATCCTCATTTATTGGCACGTTTATTTCCCTTGATATCAGCAGATCAGCGATCTTTGTAGTAGGCTACTTGAGTTTTCTTGAAGTGGCACTTAAGCTTAAGTAACAAAACTCTCTGGCTTTCATTAACATTATAACATTAAGTCCATTAATTTAACACTGTTCTTACTGACACAACTGTAATTTGTAAAGAAAAAAAATGAGATAGTGATGTAAAGATCGCAAGAATCAAAGCATCAGCGAACAGGGCAACTGGATATTGGGGTTTACGATTTAATGTACTATTGGAAAAGAGAATCTGGAAAATCTTTTGAGATTTTGTGATGTGACAAAGCTAAGGTTAATGTAGATTTCAAAACTCCTTATGCCAGATGGGCTATTTTTAGAGTATGAAATAAATATAAACTTAGGTTGTGCCTGAAAACACTTTTCTGATTTGCAGTGCAAGAAACATCTTATAGAAGAGAAATAATTAAACACAAATGGTTAACTTACTACAATGAACTAGAATTTTCTCAGGAGGATTGTAAAATAAAATCAGAGAAGATTTAATAAACTAAGGATATATTTGTCAATGGTTTTCTTGTATACAACCATCAGACAGGATTAAAGCGGATAAAAGATTTTATGGTTTTGAACAATGCAACATGGAGCTTGAAACAGAAAGCTGTACTAATAATGAACAAAATGTATAAACTTTATTGAAATTTGAGACAGAAGAAGAATGTATGATAAAATGAATGTGTGATAAATGAGATGCCTACGTGACTACTTCATTCAACGACCACAATTCTGGCATTCTAGACTGTGGTGGTTAGGTGATCTCCCAGGTTAAGCAGACAGAGTAAAAGAGCAGCCCAACCGGGAGGCAGCCCATTTGCTCTCACATTTTCCCAGCCTACCCAATTTTTTTAGCTCCTTTCCATGCACAGAACAGAAACCCTTTGTGAAGCTGAAATCCTGAAGATTTCAGCTGCAGAAACAGAGCTGAAATCTTCAGGATTTTAGCTTTGTTCCTGCAGCCCCACAAAAGATTTCTTCTCTCTGTGCTTGAAGAGGGAGAAAAATCCTTTGGCAGGCTGCAGGAATAGAGATGAAATTCTGAAGATTTCAGCTCTGTTCCTGCAACCCCACAAAGGATTTCCTTCCTTCCTTCCTTCCCTCCACTTGCAAATTTCCTTGCTGACTTCCTCATTGACTTTCTAGGGAAGCCAGCAAAGGAGATTGCAAATGGCGACCACGTGATTGTAGACGAGTATTTGTCTACCAGTCATAAAAGAAAGCCAGTTGTCAAGTAAGGAAATGGCAGCCAGCACAATGTTTTACAATGCAAGAAGCACCCTTTCCCAGGCCACTGTAACTTTGAACAGCTGTTAAACGACTGCTTGTAAATTGAGGACTAGCTGTACCTACAAAGGAGGAATGGTTGGTGAAGATTATAGATCTTGCAGAGATGATTAAATTAACTTCTTTGATTAGATTAGCAATTAGGTTGCTACAGAAACTAGCAATATTATAAGTAATACTTATATTACTTATAGTAAGTACAAAGCAAAAAGCATTTGAAGTGTTCTGAGAAGTACTAGAGGCAATAGAAAATCTAACGGTAGAACAGCACTAATTTGATATACTCCAAGCTTGCCTCATAGAAAACATTTTCCACCAGATATTCTGTGACAAATAATGGTAAGGCAACTGAAATTCTGAATACAGAATTCTGTGACCTGATTATGTGTGGCAAATTAAACAAATTTCAGCTGGTTTGAGGGCTTGGATGAAGTAATACATGAAGTATCGCAATATATAAGCAGAATGATGATGTATATAAAACTAGTATACTTCTGTAGAAATAAAATATTTTATTTTAGCCTGTTTCTGAGAAACAAACTTTGGATCACCCTCTTTCCTTCTTAGATTTTATATTCTTAGAAGTGTGTCAGGTTTACAATTGCAATCCAAATTATGCTGCCCAGTGACTTTATATGCAGATCTGGATTAATTCAGAGTTCAATTAATATTAGATCATATGCTGTTTTCTATAGATGTATCAGCTTATCTGTTCAGGAATCACATTTTAAAAATGGCTCTTTATCAGAAATCAGAGCAAAGATCGAACTCACATGCTACAGTTTTCATTCTTTGGAAGCTGATGACAATCCTTCCATTGATTTTGTTACACTATCAGAAAACAGTAGAAATATATCTTACTTATGTTTATGACAGGATTTGGATATGGAATGACAACTAAGCTCTTTGTAATAGGCCATATAAGGGTTATAAGCATGTGTGGAAATATGATAAACTCATAATACTTTGTTTGAAACAAAAAAGAGAAATCAATGGGAAACCGATACTTGTTTGTGCAGCTTTTACCTATCCTTATCTCAAATACCGTATTGTGTACAGCAGATCTTAATACAAAATGACCAATCTTTTGAAAATTGCATCAGATGAATAAGTAGTATGATTATTTTTTGGAGTTTCTACCTGAAGAAACCTATTATAAATAATCACAAAGGCTACTGAAAATAAACAAGAAAGTGTTGCATCACAAGTCCTAGGATTGCTGGATTCTAGCTATGATCAAATTAATGTTGAGGTATGGTGTTTCAGAAAGATTTGTATTAAATGCTTAATCTTTGCATTTTCTTTAGTACAGCAATGTTTTGAAAGGATTTCCTTTTGACCCAATCAAAAACCTTTGTTATTAGACATAGCAGTCTTAATAGTTCAAGTGAAAGCTTGCTGTTTCCAGGGCTTTCCCAGGGTGTCAAACTGCCAGCCTGCGGGCTGGACGTGTCATCCAGAAGCCGCGCCCACCCCATTGCCGGCAATGGCAAAACTGTCCCAATACGTTGTGCGATGTCACATGACGTCACGAGTTCGATATGTCTATTCTAGACAGTAGTTTGT